GAAACAGAACATGTGAGTGAACAAAGTACTACAAACCAATGCAACCTGACTGAGGGCAAGAAAAGGCAAAATCACTAACCTTATCAACATTTTCAGGCTCCAGGCCTTTTTGAAAGCGCTCTTCATATGAACTTGCAAGCCAGTATCTGCTGGAATCGGGTGTATGAATCTATTCACAATGTGTACAAGTAGATGATGATTATAATCAGTGATTTTGCCAGCTGTGCAGATATGCGTTCAACTGTGCATTCGAAGAAAGACAGACAAGGAAAAAAAGAGATAAGATAACATACATCATCAATCAATAAGATTGAGCCATCACTACTTCTTCCAAACTCATACTTTGTGTTCACCAGTATCAGTCCATGATCCTTGGCAACCCGCTGAAGCAAGCATGATATAATCAAAATCTATTAGACCCTTCCAACAAAGCATAATATTTGCATGCTGAAGCCAGTAAAATATATTAAAAACTGATTTCTTGTGGTCTGCAATTTAGAGATTATGAAAATCACTATAGTCAATGACTTTAGACGGAGGAGTTGTAACTAACCTGCCCAAACTCAAACAAGCTCAAAGCTTTCATACTTGCTTCATCAAAATCAGCTTGAGTCATGAATCCACGTTCAACTATCTGCAAGAGTTATCAGGAGAATTAGAAGAAAAACAGACTATACAATTGTCGCTTAAATATTCTTGTCTTACAGCTAAGCAGATCACAGAAACAACAAACTAATGACTCAAAATACTTTTTATGGTTTCCATATTTCTTTACTGTAACAGATTATTAGACCTCATTTGGAGAGATGGGCACATCATGATCCGCAGCCTTAGTTGTTGGTGTAAGTATATTAGCTGGAAGCTTCTGGTTTTTTACTAATCCTGCATAATTTAGTGATCAGCATATCAATGATATTCTACGATGCATTTAACGAAGAAGACAACGAACATATAACAATAAAAGAAACTATACCATCTGAGAGCTCATTCCGACAGTAGTTCCGAACACCTTTATTGTAAACCGTCCATAAAGACGTGTCAGTACTTCCAGTCACATATCCTCTAACTTCAAAATACAAACATAAGAGAACAGCTTAGAACTAAAGCAAATGGAGGCTGCATAGGGAAGTGTCTGACAAGTTACTCGGTATAAGACACTAACCCACAAACTCTATGGGAAAAACCGAGCATTTCTTTGTGATAACAACATTTCTATCAGGAGATGAAACAATTGCATTTGGAGTTATGTGCTGTGTGTTATTGAACCACCACAAACTTGTCTCATTAAGAACCTGAAAGTTAAGCACCACAAAATTATTATTCCTTGCAGTTTGATCTACAGACCAACGAAAAAAAGTTGTGGCCAACGATGTAAAGCTATCTAACTTGAATATAGAGCACAAACATGGAGAAAAACAAATCTGGCCTTTGAAGGGAATTGAAGCAAGATTTCTGTCGAATGCACTCAACCGATCAGTTGTAATAAGAACCAGATAATCACCAACATCATAAATATCTCTGACCTACAACATCAATTTTACAACCTTGATCAGTTCTGAATTCTAAAATCAACAATTATGTA